GGGGGTTTCTCCGTGCTGTCAGTGTTGCCCAGACAGGTTTTCCCAGCGTCCGCCCTCAGCCCTTCTTAGTCCTGTTGCCACAGCCGTGTGCGCCGTGGTGACGCTTTGCTCTGCTGTAGCTGCCTGCCACGCTTCTGTGGACCACCATCCCGCTGGCCCACTGTGGACCACCATCCCGCTGGCCCACTGGCCGTTGGCTCTGGATCAGCTCAGGCTGGCGGTGGCTTTCTTGAACTGTGCGGTGCGCAAATCTGAAGGCCGTGCTTCTGCTGAGATCCATCAGTGTAAAGCAGGGGATGAATTCACCTGCCTTGCCAGCTGTTAATTCTTTAACATTTCAGACCATACATCTGCCTGTTTGGCAATGGGTTGTCACCATTGACCTGTGCTCAGCTTTGGATGCCCTCTAACCCCAGTGGCATTTTCTGCAGAATTAGTTGCAGTTTTTGTTTCCAGTTGTGTCTGTGTACTTTGTTCCCCAAGCACAGAACCTTGCACTCGTCCACATTAAACTTTCTCCTGTTTTTTTCCCCACTCGCATCTCTACCTTGTGAAGAGTATTTTGAATTGTGATACGGTGTGCTTGAAGCTCCTCCCAAACAGGAGGAGCTGCAGATTTACTAAGGTACTCTTTTTCATTCAAATCCTTGATGAAATGTAGGGTGGAGGTCTGAATGGTACATGATCAACATTCAACAGTGTCAGTAACCTGTGTTATCTTTGTAGCTGCTCTTGGAAAAGTAATAGAACATTTCTTCAGGGTACAGTGAATGTTGTAGGCCTGACCACATAGCCAAAAAGCCTTTTTTTAATCAATAGCGGGAAGTCAGGAGTATGGGATAGGGAGGATTTGCAAAGGTAAAGTTCCTTGTCTTCCTATACGAGAAGGTATACGGTTGGACTTGATGGTCTTTGAGGTCTCTTCCAACCATAATGATTCTATGATTCTATGATTCTATCAAGGGCTCTCTTGTGCTAGAGTAAACAAGCCAAGCTTTCTGAGCCTTCTTCAAGACTTTTTTTCCAGTCATCATGATAGCCCTTTTTCTGTTATTTCTTGTAGTTTGAATTGATTCTGATTTTACACAGTTGCTGATCAGACCTCATCAGTATTTTCATACAGTGGCTTTAGTACTTGCTTTGTTCACTGAAGACAGCTGAGTTCACCTGGTACATCCGCGGATCAGCTTGTCTGTTTTTTCTCCACATGTCACTTAATTGGCAGCTCATTATTGCCTCTCGGATCAGCTTGTCTGTTTTTTCCCCACGTCACTTAATTGGCAGCTCATTATTGCCTTGTGACGTGCAGATCTTTTCTTTGTGATTACACACAGAGTGCTTCAGATCTTACTAGTCTCCAGCTGCATCACCTTGTGCTATGACTTTCATACCATTGCGTTCTGGTGGTGTCACTCCAGCCCTGTACGATAGTGTGTCCTTCATCTGTATGGTAATATCATAATCTGTCAGACCCCTGTGCTTTTTGGGGGTGGGGTTCCTGTTTTGGTTTTGTTTTGGTCAGGAACCCTGTAAAGTGTTAAATAAGGCTACTGACATCAACGTTCTTTGTGGAACTTCACTGGTAACCTTCAATCAGCTCTGTATTTCTTCTTTTAGCTGAGCATGTTGTCTCCTTCCTGTCAGTCAACGTATGGCTCCCTTTACAATCATTATACATTTTAAATGATTTTCTCATTTGTTTTGTGGCACAATGTTGTATGGTTTTCTGAAGTCAGCTTGACTTTTGGGAAGTCTCAGCTTTGTATTCCTACTAGGTGTGGTGACAGGCAGCTTCTGGCTTTTCTGTCTGTGCTGTAGAAAGCAGCTCAGATAGACCTTCCTCTTGCAGAACTTTTTAGAGGGCAATTTCAAGCTGTTAAGCAGTATATGTTAAGACAATATATGATTTCCTTGGCTAGTATTTTACTGTTATTTTCTGTCATCACCTCCAAGTTGTTTACTCCACTTTGTTTCCCTTCTCAGGCTGTAGCTATTACACTGGCAGTTCTCAAGAAGAAATGGAGCTGGGGAAATACAAATGTAGAAGAGTTTGAGTATTAGGTTTCACCGGATGCTTCTTCCTGAGCACATCTTGAAGAATGTCTTGTCAGGGAGCTTTTGTGAATCAAAGATCACAGCCTCTGTTGACACTTTTCTACCACAGAGAAAAAGGGAGCAAGCAAGACTCAAGGCAGTGCTTTCTATTTTTTTTTTCTTTTTCTTTCTTTCAGAAGACTGAGGTTAGAAGAGAGGTGTGGTAGGTGGAGAATCACACCTGATCCTCATAACCATACCAAAAACAAACATAGATGCTGCCTCCCCTTCACCTTTCAAGCCATTGAATCTTCTGTCCCAGCTCAAGGAATAAACTTGATGCTTATAGGAAGAGTAATCAAGGTGCATCTTTCTTGCAACAATTAATGTGTTTAAGATGTAATTACTGGTAACTTGGGAAAATGATTTACCCAAGTCAGGAGACTCTTTCTCTGCAAGGGTTTTATTCTGAATTTCCCTGCTTTTCTCTTTATGTCTCCCACTAAGGTGGTTGGAACAGGTTTTATGCAGTAGAAGTCAAATTATTAAGGGCCTATGTGCCTGAAAAGATTCTCCTTACTCAAGACTTAGTGAAATTGGCTGGAAAATATCCTCTGGAAGCCATAAATACCTCTTAGTGTTTGATACCAGTATTCAGGGCATGAAGTCAGGACAAGGGCATAAGAACCCTTACAAGAAAGGGAGGGGAAGAAGGAAGGGAGAGCAGCAGTGAAATGGCTCTTCTTTTTCTGAAGCTGGGAGCTTGGGCTTGGATAGCTGGGCCAGAGATCTTTGGGTGTTTTTCTGACAGAGAGGAGCTCTTTCTGCTCGGAGAGAATCTTTCTGCCTGGGACCACAGAGGTTTAAAATGAGTACTTGGTGGAGTGATTATTGCTTGTATGCACCTTGGGGGGGAAAAAGACAACAAAACCACTTTTACCTGTGGGTTATATTGTTAAACTCCCAGCTAAGGAAGCATGCACTTCCCTTCGGTCACTTGGGACTGAGTTGGGAGTCTGTTTAATACTACAAACAACTAAAAGCTTTGAGAGTAAACTTTTCCTTATGTAATTCTGCCTGGGATAAATGTCAGTATAAAGGAAAGCAAAAATGCAGATCTGGGGGGAAAAGAGCACTTCAGTTAATTTTAAGGTTTTGTCAATAGAATGTAAATCATAGGTTCAGTTTAATTATTGATATGTACAGTAATGTTAAAATTTCTTCTGTATAAGGAGTTGAAACTAGTATATATCTTATCTGGGTCAGTGTAAGTCTCCTGGAGTGACAGGGTAAATGCCTACATCTTTCACAGTTATACAAAAGCTAGAGAGTAACAATTGTACTTTAGGATTTAGCACGCACTTCCTTGGCAAGCAGCTACAATGGCTTAAAACATTACTGTTCCTCTCCTGGAGGTTAGTGCCCACACAGATGTGTGAGATCTCGTAAGCTGCTTCAGTGCCAACCACTTTCTGTGGCAACGCAAGGTGAAATGGTAACGTCTTCAACTAAGTGAATTATGTGTGTCTCTGGGACTCCCTTCCGCAGTATTTAAGGTTTTGTGGGGGTTAAATTGTGGTGTATTCCAGGGTTGCTTTATCTTCCACTATAAAGAGCTTTTAAATAAATAATAGCCCCCCAAAGCCTTTTTGTATGACTTTTACTGTCCTATCAGTGGGGTGCACAGTACAGGCACACTAACATTAGTTGCAGGAACTGGTGGTGATGTTTTGCAATCCTTAGGTTGAATAGTTTGTTTGAATAGCTTTACGTATATGTGTTTAAGAGCTTTCATTATAGATTTTTACCAATGCCTAAGAAGCCTCTATCACAACTTCATTCTAAGATGATGTCAACTGAAACTGTTGTTTTGGGAATTCACAGGGTCAATGATTTGAAGACTGGTACGCTGATAGGAATTGACAAATATGGAAACAAATACTATGAAGACAAAAGAAACTTCTTTGGTATGTGTGCTAATGTGAATACCTCCTGACTGACTGTCCAGCTTTGTACAGCTTGTGTAGTTTCTGCTGGTGAAATAGAACTTGTTGCCTGCCTGACTTCCTCACGTTTGACTTGCGTGAGCCTTAGAGAGAGGGCTCATAAAAATGCTTTGACATCTTCTGTTTCTCTACTGCTTCCCTCAATTAATTTGCAAACACAGTCCATCTGAAATAATAAATATGAGATAAATATAAGATGGTCAGATGCTCTCCATGTAGGTATACTTATATGATAATGTAATTGAGAGCTGAATGTGGTCCTTGACCTAAAAGCTGGTAGCTTAACAGGTGAGGGAAGAAAGAGAACTGCCTTTAAAACTGCCTCACAGCTATACTTCCTTATATGATCACTTCAGGGCAAAGAAACACAGGTTAACTTCAACTTCCTATTACCTTAAGTAACAGGATTTTAAATAACATTTGTAGAGTACTTCAAAAGGTAGCACCTAAAACTAGTGTAGTCTGTCTAGACTTCAGTAAAGCATTTGACATGGTCTCCCACAGCATCCTCCTAAATAAATTGGCTGTTCATGGCTTAGATGGATGAACTCTTCGATGGGTAAAAAAACTGGCTGGATGGCTGGGCCCGGAGAGGTGTGGTCAGTGGAACTAAATCCAGTTGGCAGGTGGTTACTAGCGGTGTTCCCCAGGGCTCAG